GTATGCACTGACAGAGGCAGAGGGGACGACGGGAGGCTGTTGGAGAGGAGCAGGGACTGTCCCCGAGGTGCCATACAACACCATTCCAACCCCTGACCTTTTCAGGCCATTGACAATGATGAGCCTGGCAACCACAACAGCAAATTGGGCTTCAAGATCTTGCCGGGACCGTTCAGCAACAACTTCACCATCAACGCAGCCACAGGTGAGGTGTGCAGCAAGGAGCCGCTGGACCGCGAGGCCTTGGAAGATGAGCGGGGGCAGATGGTGCTGACGGTGAAGGTGTACGACCACGGCGTGCCGCAGCTCAGCACCTTGGTGAACATCACCATCACTGTGGGGGTGAGCCCTGGGCGCCAGAAGGGACATGCTGGGGCTGGCCAGGACTTGGAGCTGGGATGGATGGGCAGGGAGGGGATGTGGCATCCCTGGCTATGGCAGGGGCACCGCATCCCCAGGGTCTCTGTGGGGGCAGAGGGAATAGTTGATGCAGGACGGCAGGAGAGGGCTTCTGTGTTTCCTGCCTGCAAGCAGGCAGGTGTCCAAGCTCCTGTCCCCAGCCTGCTATGGGGCACCCCATTTCCTGGAGCAACTCTAACCGTGGGCTTTGTCTCATGCAGGACGTGAACGACAACGCACCCATGTTCCTCAACCAGTCCTATGAGTTCTCAGTCTTTGAAGACTCTCCAGGTAGATGTTGCATGGTCAGGCTCGTGGGACCAGCGGTGTCCTGGAGTACCACTAGCTACCGAGTGTCTGTCTCTACCTGCAGGGTCCTTCGTGGGTGAGGTGGAGGCCAGAGATGCTGACCGGACAGAGATCAATTCCCGCATTTCCTTCCTACTTCAGAGGGGCAGTGGCTCCAGCAACTTCTTGATCCGCTCATCCTCCCTGGCGTCGGGGTACTACAGTGGTCAGCTGTCCATGGACCCCGACATGTCCCTGGACTATGACACTCTACAGCAGAAGTTCTTCTCCTTGGTGGTGCTGGCAGAGAACACGGCCACAGACAATGTGGGGGACACTGCCAATGTCTCGGTGGTGGTCCACATCCTAGACATCAATGACGAGTCCCCCACCATCCTGCCCAATTCACTGCAAGACGTGCGTGTGAGCGAGAATGGCACACAGCATGGTCTGGTCTGCGTGCTGGCTGCTTCCGACCCAGACACCAACCCCTTGCTGGTCTTTGAAGAGCTGGCAGTCACCTGCTTCAAGGGGGCAAGCAGTGCTGGGGAGGTGTGCTGGGACTGGTTCATGCTGGCACCCAACGGCTCGGTGCTGGTGAACAGCTCGGACATTGACTACGAGCTGTGTGACAGGGTGATGCTCACGCTGAGGGCTGAAGATCTGTACACGGAGAAGGGCAACCGCTACAGCCAGAATGGTATGGCACCCACTCCCCGCTCCTTCCCCTGCCACCGGGCACAGGGGGAGGTGGGACCTGCCTCTCCCACCTCCTAGGAGGAACTGTGAGGAGCAGGACAGGAGCCGGGCAGTTTGGTGATAGAGGGTGTCCCCAGCTCATTTGGTCCCTGCCACAGGGACCCGAACGTGCTGGGAGGACAGGACTCCCAGGGGTAACAGAGGTGGATGCTGCAGGGCTGCTCTGTTGGTGACCAGAGCTCTGCTTTTGGGGCATTTGCAGAAACCCTGAGGATCCTCATCACCGATGTGAACGACAACATGCCTGTCTTTCTGCCCATCTCAGAGACCTTTGGTGAGCAGCCAGGCCTGGTGCATCCTGTGGGCTGCTCTCTGCACCCACATGTGCTCTGCCATGCTCCCCGGCGGTGGAGACCTTCCCCCAGCCAGGGCAGGGCTGTGAGAGGTGCAGGGACCAGGCTGGGGTTACTCGATGCTTTCCATGAAGGCTGTGGGGCCGAGGGCAAGTGGAGGGATGCTTGGAGCTCTGCCGAGCCCCGGGGCTGTGCGGCTATGAGGTCTGCAGCAAGTCTGGCTGCACATCAGCATTATGGTGTTGTCTGTCTGTCTGTCCCTGGCAGTGGTTGTCCCTGAAATCTCTCCTGTGGACCTGCAAGTGGCTACTGTGAAGGTGAGGAGCTGTGTGTATGTGTCTGTCAGCCTGAGGAGCCAGGCTCTCCCATCCGCCCCATGGGCAGGTGGTGCCTGTTTCCATCCATGCTCTGCCACGCTTTGTCCCTGCAGGCCACGGATGCTGACTCGGGGCCGAAGGGAACCATCACCTTCTCCATCATCAGTGTGGTGCTTGTGGAGGACAACGGGGTCAGCCGGCCCTTCGAGAGCCTCTTCAAGGTGGAGACAACACCCGAGCAGGACAGCTACATCGGGAGCATCCAGTGAGGCCATGGGTTTGGGCCAGGGTGGGGGGAACATGTCTCAGCTCCTGCCTGCTGCAAGGCAGAGGTGCAGGCAGGGCCAGCACAGGCTGGCAAGGGGACAAAGCCATCCTGGGATGCTGTCCTGGGCATGCAGGCAGGGTGAAGCTTAGGGGATGGTGGTGCGCTCCCGGGGATGTCCCGTGGCATTGCTGATGTCCCTGTCCTCACAGGGTGGCCAGCAACCTCGATGGCTCGCTGAAGGGCGAGTACCAGGTGACAGTGGAGGCTCGGGATGGCGACGCACCAGGGCACACAGCACAGACCGTGCTGAATGTGAGTGTCACTCCCGTGCCCCCATCTGGGAACACCCTGCACCCTGCCCAGACCTACTCACCCCTGCTCTCCCCACGCAGATCTTTGCGGTTGATCAGAGCTACCGCGTTCGCCTCCAGTTTGTCACAGCAGTGGATGAAGTCCAGAGTAACTCTGAAAGCATCAAAGCGTAAGGGGTGCTGGGCTGGGGAGAGGGGGTGCGTGGCTGTGCAGTTAGGGACACGAGCATGCAGGCCAGGACCCACCAACCGTGTCTCCCAGCTTCACAGACTGTGAAGGGGACTGAGGCAGGCAGGTCCCCATCAGAGCTGGGGGCTGCAGGGCGTCCAGCTGCTTCCCGTGCAGCACACCCGGCCCAGCCTCCCTCCTTCCCTCCTGTTCCTAGGGCCCTGACCACCGCAACCAAGGCAGGGGTCTACGTGGTGGCCATCCGGAGCACGGAGGACACCCGTGCTTCCCGGTGAGTGGGGCCACGCAGGTGGTGGGGAAGGGCACATGGCAGTGGCATTGGAGGGGTCACCCTGGGGCAGGACACCGTGCCCTGTACTCCGCTCACCCCATCTCTCTGATCCCACAGGGTGAAAGCCAAGTCGGTGATGGAGGCGTACTTTGTCTACAGCAACGGCACTGCCCTGGATGTCAACGAGCTGAGTGTGTGCGTGGCAGGGCGGGGGCCACACACGGGCACTGCCACGTGCCCGGACTGGCCCAGCTCTCACCCCCTCCGCTTTCCTTGGCAGGCTCATACAGTCCGACCCGCTGGTCCTGGCCGAGCTGGTGAACCTGGGCCTGGCTGTCATTGTGAGTGGGGCTGGGCAAGGGGCTGAGAGAGGCACCAGCCCCATGTGGGGTTGGGGGGGTTCTGCTGGCCAGGGCTGTGCCCTCACCCCTGCTCTGCCCCAGGGCCCTGGGGAGGTGGCAAAGCCCACGAAGGAGACAGAGCTGATCGGCATCATCGCAGGGCTGGCGGCGTTCCTGCTCATCTTCATCCTCATAATGACCCTGGTCTTGGTTCTTACCACCAGGAGGTACTGCACCCCCTCCTGCCTCCCCCCCCACCCCCCATCCTCACCAGCACCACCAGACCCATCCCTACCCTCCATCCCGCTCCTGCCCACCCCATCCCACAGGAAGCTCCCTCCTGCCCCTCACCTACCCCATCCCTGGGTATTGCAGCTACAAGAGGAAGCTGAGTGCGATGAAGGCTCTGAAGGTGGCCACGACGTTCAGTCCTGCCATGGCGCAGCAGGGAGCCGGCATCCCTGGCACTAACCAGTACAATGCAGAGGGGTGAGTGGGGGAGCTCCCTGCAGCAGGAGGGTAGAGCCCAGGCATGTCCCCACACCCCGGGGCTGCAGGGCTCGCTGTCACACCCCTCCTGCCTGGGGGACATGGCTGCCCTGGGCTGACTCCACAGCCCCATGAACTGTCACTCACCTGCCACCCATCCCTGGCCAGGGCCAACCCCATGCTGAACCTCTCACTTAATCCCTCCCATGACCTGGGCTTCCACGAGGACTCCATCTCTGTGGCCAGGTGAGCTCTGCAGGCAGATCCCAAAGGCCATGGGGCTGTCACCCTGTGTCCCCACTCTGCCAGCGCCTGAGCCCTCTTCTACACCCCACTCTCCACAGCATGAATTCCCTGGATGAAAACACAGTAAACTCACCGGGGGACAACCACCTCAGGGCCAAGGTGAGTGTGCAAAGAGCTGCTGGTGCCCAGCAGGGAGTCCTGCCATCACACCCCACGTCCCCTCCTCTCCGCTGTGGTCCCCAGGCTCCTGGACACCTCGTGTCCCTTCCTCTCTATCCCCCTGACAGCCCCCAGCTCCCAGGAAGGACAGGAATATTCCTGTCCCCTATCTCTGTCCCCATCCCCTCTGACCACACTCTCCTCCTGCAGCAGGATGACATGCAGCTCACAGACTCCATCAACGATGAGGTGCTGGTGGCTGCCCTGAACATGAAGGAGCCCACTGAAAAAGTGTACATCAACACCACCTTCACCACCACAGACTTGTGAGCAGGCACACAGGGTGCAGCAGGGCCGGAGCAGGACTCGGGCAGCTGCTTTGCTGATGTTGAGTTCAGAGGTCAGCAATAAACCTGTCCCACGGGGGTCACGGTGTCCTGTGGCCATCAGCCTGTCTGCTCAGGGGGCTCAGTCAGCTTGGGGTCATCTCTCCCAGCATGAGGTGCTGGTTTTGGTCCAGGCTGGTGCTGGAGGGGAGGTGAGTGCCACCGAAGGGCTCCTGGCTTCTCATCCCCCAAGACCCCTTCCCTAGGCTGCCCCACTGCCCCGACTCAGCCCTGTGGGAGGGAGGTGAAGGCAGCCCCGCGCAGAGGTTTGTGCAAGGTTTTATTACCCAACAACCACGTTGACAGGTTGGTCCTCCCGCCCCCTTCCTCCCTCCCACCCCCAAAAAAAGAAATGAAGAGGAAAAAAAGATGTAGGTGATGAAGCCGCAGTGTCGTTGTGCCGCAGCTTGGCAGTGCGGGGCTGGAGGTGGGGGACAGCCAGGGGTAGGGTGGCAGGGGGATGCCCCAGGGCTCCTGGTCTCCCCCGAGTGGCCGTGGCACCGCTCCTGTAGCTCAAGGCACTGAGCAGAGCCGGCTCCAAGTGAGCGCCACGGCACAGGATGGGCACTGGCCACAGCTGCCAGCTGGTGCTTCAGCAAGCCCTTCGCAGTTCACCCCCCTCCAGGGGCAAGAGACAGCCCCACAGGGCAAAAACAAGCCCAGGATGTACAATGGGAGCTTGGGGGGCCAAGACTTGCCCCTTAAAGAGGGGAAGTGTCTACACTGATGACCCTGACACCTCAGGCCCTGGGCATAGGCCTGGGCCCCCCGCTCAGTGTGGCCCTGCGGGGCTGGTCCTCTGCACAGGGCCAGGCTGGAGGGGCCAGGACCCGTGTCTCAGCAGGACACCGCGGTGCTGCCGGCACAGGGATGCTCATGCAGTGTGGGGATGCTCAACCCACTGCACACCAACCCTTCGGTCCCAAGGCTCTTCAGCCCGGCAGGGCACAGGCAACATAGGAAGTGTTTGAAAAGAGGGTCATGGCCCCACAGGCCACCGGGGAATGGGTGGATCCAGACAGGACGCGCATGACAAAGTGTCTTTTAAAAAGCTCCAAAAATGCAAACACGGTTCAATAAAAGCCCCCCTCCCCCCCCATCCTGTAAAACCCCAGCTGTAAAAAGTGGCAGCGCTTTGCAGCCATCACATCCCCAGCTGCCGTCAGAGGAGAGCAGCCATCGGGGCCGGAGAGATGTGGAGAGCAGCACGTGGGGCCTCTCCAGCACCAGGGTGGCTGGATGGGCCCGACGGCAGGACAGGCTTCATCCCCACTGCCAGCCATGGAGAGGATGTGCCCTGGGATCTGATGGCCACTCCCAGGCAGGTCCCCAGCCAGGCAGAGCTGGGGGCCATGGGGACAGACTCCCTGAGCACCTCCAGCCACAGCGATGGGGACGAGCATCTCTCTGTCTCTCCCATCTCTCCCATTTGAGATCTGTCCTGGTGCCCGACATGGCCACGTCCTCTGAGCTCTGGGGTCCCCATGGCAGTGGGGCAGAGGACAGGGCTGTGGCAGGCTGGGCTGAATGTGCCTGCCCCGGGCAGCCATGGGGACCCACGCATGCACGACTGTGGGCTGCTCGGAGCATGGCTGAGACCTGGGCAGGGGAAGCAGCGGCACAGCAATGCACCAGCATCTCTCCAGCATGGGGAGCAACGCTGCTGCCTGGGGTGCAAGCGAGGCCAGAGCTCGGGGAAGTCAGCAGTGACCTGCCCGTGCCTGCCCTGAGCCCTCTCCAGCCCCTGTGCCCACAGGCAGGAGATGCCTCGGGCTGGAAGGAGCCACATGCTTCCTCATGCTGAAAAAAACCCACCAAGCACAGAGACGGAGCACCAGCCTCGTGTCCCAGGGCACCTCCATGGGGCTAGGCTAGTGGGGGGACCCCTGGTGAAGGAGATGCCTTACTCCAGCGTGCAGTGCTCCATCACCCCCTGCTCCAGCCCCTGGAGCCCCACACGCTGGCAGCAGGCGTCTCAGGACGCCAGGCAGGGATTCCTCCCTGCTTCCCCCAAGAAGCCCTGTGGCACCCCCACCCCACTGGGGCAAGCAGCAGCTCACTCCGTGGCAGGGCCGGCGCGGGAGCAGCACCGGGGCCGCCGGACGTTTTGCAGCAGAGCTCGAAAGACACTGGGCTGCCTCTTGGCCTCGCCTTTGCAGGGGGCTCCCTTGATGGAGCCAGTGCGGGTGCTTTGGGGGGTCATCACCACCTGCCGCCCGTGCTCCTCGATTTGCTTCTCCAGGTGCTTCTGTATGGCCATGCCCAGCACCTCCACCTCCATGGAGGCCCCATACACCTCCCACGTCATCCCCTTCTCGTCCCAGCTCACCTCCCGGATAGGCTCTGGAGCCTCCTCCACCACCGTCCCCTTCACATGCACCTCGGGGTATGAGGCCTGCGGGGACTTGGCCACTGGTGTCATGGGCCCGGTGGCCACCGAGCGGGTCTCCACGGGCATGGACACCTGCATCTCCGCGTCCTTCTTAGAGGGCTCTGGGTATGGGGGAGCAGCAGAGCCTGGCTCTCTCTTGGGGAAGGTGAAGGCAGCAGCCCCACCCGGGGGGCTCATGGGGCTCAAGGCCACAGACACCAGGGATACTCGGCTGTCCACTTGCGTCCCCATGTCCTGTGTCCCTGCATCCTGTGGTGGGGTCACCTCGAAGGAGTAGGACTCGCAGAGCAGCTTGGCCGTCCGGGGCTGCTGGCTGCTCCTGGCATCCGCACCCTGGGCTGGGCTCCCCTCAGCTGTGTCCTGGCCCAGGGTGGTGGGGCTCGGCCCTGCCTCACCTTGGCTCCCGCTCCCCACAGTGCCGGTGCCAGGGGGGTCTGCCGTGCCCCCTTGGGGGTGCTTGGGAGCCTCACCACCCCCCATCTGGGGTACAGCACCCAGGGATGTCCCTGTGCCAACCTGGGGCTGCTCCTGTCTTGGAAGCTCAGCTGCTCCGGTGCCCACAGCAGGCTCCATGAACACCACATGTTTGGCAGGAGCCGGCATGCTCCCCACGTTCTTGCTGGGTGCTTTGAGGCAGGGCTCGGGCAGGGAGGGCACAGGGGCTGTGTTCTCCATCTGGGTGCTGGGGACCCCCATCCCCATGGGACCACAGGCAGAGGCAGCTCCACTTGGTCCCCCGCAGCTACCCATCGCTGCCATCACGCTTGGCTCCACGCTGGCATCCAGGAGAAGCGTGCTGGGAGCCGGTCCCGTTGACGATGGCACCTTCTTCTCCACCACTGGGCTGGCCGTGGTGGCCTGGGTCTCCGGCTCAGCTGCACAGCAGGTCCTCATGGCACGGTCCCCCACGGCACAGCCAGAGCCGGGCAGGCACTCGCCAGCCGACAGGCAGCCAGGAGAGCTGGCGCCGGGCTCACAGGCGTCCTCGGCCCCAGCCTGGTGGCTCAGCAGCTGCAGCCCCTCGGGCTCCTTAGCACTGCCCATGCCCGGGGAAGACTTCTCCCATGCTAGTCCTGCTGCGGGTCTGCAAGAGAGAGGACGGGGCAGTGAGAGGGGAGCAGCACATGGACCCCCAGCCCCCATCAGTTGCCAACTGTTTTTCTTCATGCCACCCATGACAACAGGTTGGGCAGCTGCCCGGAGCACCCATCGGCCCCGGCGCGGTGTGTGACAGCACCCAGTGCCCAGCCCCACGGGAAGGGAGGAATGGTGCCAGCCACCTACTGTAAAAGCCAGCCTTCCCCCGGTGCGGCCTGACCGGGAGCGAGATCCAGAAGCTGCTGCGGCTGCCGGAGCAGGGGGATGTGGTGCAGGCACCCCTGCGGGGAGAGCAGCAGCTGGGGCACAGTCCCAGGCACCAGGCAGGGAGCCTGGGGGGGCTCAGCACCCCCCAACTGCCAGTGGGGAGCTGGGCACAGCATGGGGTGACAGCAAGCCGGGCCCGGGGGCCGAGGGGGGGCTGCAGGGCAGCCTGAGCCCTTCCCTTCGCAAACTGGGATCAGCATTCCCAGAGCTGGGAGCGATGTGTGTTCTCCCACCACGAGAACCCCCAGCTCAGCGCCTACACCCCACGCCGAGGGTGCGCTGAGCTCCCGGCCATGCTGGGCAGAGCTGGCTGCAGGCAGGCACCCCGGCACGGGCTGGTGTCACCCAACCGGCCCCAAACCCTCCCCAGCCCCGCCGGGCAGCCCTGTAGCAGGAGCACGGCTGGGAGCCCCGAACTCTCCGGGAGCCTCCCCAGCTCTGCCAGTGCCAGCGAGTCCCCCAGAGCTGGGAGCACACGGAGTAGGGCACTCCACGCCTCCGGCCACGGCCACTCGTGGGTCCCGGGAAGGGCAGAGCCGAGCAGACACGGCTGGAGTCGAGCGAGCCCCCCTCAAGAGAAGCGGCAGGAGCAGGGACCAGGCTGGCACCGACCCCCCCGCGGCCGCCCGGCAGCGCTGGAGGCAGTAACAC